TTCGAGAGGAGTTGGTGGTTGCCTGGAGTCAGATACCACAGGAGGACATTGACCACCTGATCAGAAGCATGCCTAGGCGAGTTGGAGAATGCGTAGCACATCAGGGTGCATCCACACATTATTAAAGGTCAAAGGGCTTTAAAGCAGTGCAATCATGTTGAAATTTTTATCATTTACTTATTATGCTTCATTAAGTACTTATACAAAATTTTATTAAAATAAAACCATTTAAACTGGGTGTTCGGATTTATATGTCACTTAGTATATGTTTGCATACAATTAGGTTAGTCTACTTATAAGATTGTGGACCTCACTGTAGATACACCACACAAGAACTTTGATCCAATATCTAGCTGTACTGGTGTTCTCATTCAAATTTGCAGATCTCTGCACATTATGGATATTTCATGCTGCATGCAGTATCAGACTAAAAATAACATTCCATTTTTTTGACTACATTTTACATTCGCTTCCCTGAAAACTTTTCCCATACGATTTTTCGTAAAAATGACCAAAGGGAGACGCTGCCGCTCCCATTTTAAAATATGGAATATAAATGTATGTTCAAAAAGCAGAAAACGATCAATACCAATACCCACACGCACGCAAACATTACTCAGAGCTCTCTCCAGGGAGTTTAAAGTAAATTGAACGAACCCCAAATATTTTAACCTAAGGCGGATTTAGAAAATGCACTGGAAGTAATATGTCAGCAAACGTTATTAGAGATGCCAAATAAGCTTGACTGCCTTATTTGTTTGCAAAAAATCAAGGTTGTTCAGACGTTTGATTCGTTTGAAAAAATGTATATCCTTATAAGAAAATGTTTACACGTATACAGTGTGTTTTGTTTTTAGGAAAGACGGAAGGATACTACATTTCTTGTAGATTGTAGATGCTCTTGCTTGGTGAAAGTCTCGCTGCATAGTACCAATTTTATAGAAAAACTACGTGTTTCTTCTATACCTTGATACGGATTCACACATTCGACGAGAGAAATAATGATAATAATGACTTTTATTCATGTCAGCCTCTTGGATATCAAACGTCAAAATACATGTTAAACTATTTATCACAAGGTAAGATTATGCACAAGGAAACTCAAAATGACTATAAAATCGATACAGAGTCATACAGAATAATAACATTTTTCTACCAAAAATGCATGCACGCGGTTTTTGAAAGGCTTAGTAGCAACCAAGTTTTTTATATCATTAGGTAGTGGATTGAATATGAAGGCACATATATACTCAGGACTTTAACCATAAGTGCTTAGACTGTAATTAGCTATAGATAGGGTAAATGCACCTGTAAATGAACGGTACCAGTAATTGAACAAAAGCCCAAATTTAGCTATTTTTTAAGATTCGACTCCCCTCTAGCCTTATTTTTGATGAATTGACATCATATTTTGAACGTTTGTCTTAACTTGTTTCACAAATAACACTTCTGAGATCTAGTGAACGAACGTGTCGGCGGCAGAAAAATTCACATTTCTTGTCTGGTGGTATATCGGAGCAAGTGCTATAACGTCTTAGGTAAGTAGCTATTCTCAATAATAAGGATGTTGCTCACATAGCAGCAGTAATGTGAATAAATACTTGAATAAGACACCTATATACTCCTTTTTAATACTAAACATAACCTAGAAAACGCTAACTTCCCGCCAAAATAGAAAATATAGTCGTTCATTCATTGGTGCCATTGATAAACCAGTAAATGAACAGATCGTTCATTGACTGGGTATTTCAACATGCAAATGAAATTCATCCTTGTTCTTCATATCGTAAGATCCTTATATGCTCTTTCAGTCTACAATAGTGGAATGTTAAATTTACGCCCCGATCCAGTAATTGAACGCTCTTTTATAAATCGTTCATTTATTGGATCCCGAAGTAAATTTCAATACCCAGTGAATGATCGTTAACAAATTCCCTTTTGTCCTACGTAATATTATACTTACTTGCGTGGAAAGATGGGTTGGTATGATGATGTCTTTTTATAGATATGGAAAATCCAAAAAAACCATACAAGAGATTTCGATACACGGAGGCGCAGCTACAAGAGGCAGTAGAGTTCATCAGACAATCAAAATTGAACATTTCCCAAGCAAGTAAAAAATATGGAATTCCGAAAAGTACTTTATCGAATAAATTAAGAGGCAAAGTGCCTGCAGTGAGAAAAATGGGACCCACAACCATTCTTACAATGGAAGAGGAGGCCAATCTAGAAAAATGGATTTTATCCAAAGCAATGTTAGGTTTTCCAATGCACCCAGACGAAGTTAAAGATTCAGTTCAACGAGTTTTGAAAATTGTGAAACGACCAAATGTTTTCACAGATGATAGGCCAGGAAAAAAATGGATGAAACTTTTTCTTCAAAGGCACCCCAATGTTACGCAGCGAAACACTGAAATAATTTCAAAAGGTCGAGCATCAGTTACAGAAGAAGGCATTCGGACATGGTTCGGTGAACTAAAGGATTATCTAATCAGCGAAAATGCTGAGGATATTCTATCATGCCCCCTGAAAGAATTTTTAACGCAGACGAGACAGGGTTGCAGACATGTCCAAAATCGGGAAAATTGTTAGGTCCAAAAAATTATAAGAACTTTTATGAGCTGGCAAGCGGACCAGAGAAGGAGTGCATTACCGTCCTTTGCACTTTCTCGGCGGCAGGTGTCTGTGTACCTCCGATGGTGGTGTATCCATACAAAAGAATATCTCGGGATATTGTTACATCTATGCCAGATAATTGGGGAATAGGTCGGTCGGATTCAGGGTGGATGGTGAGTGCGACATTTTACGAATTCGTAGCCAATATCTTCTATCCATGGTTGGAAGAAAATCATATAAAACTACCCGTTTTGTTACTGTTAGATGGACACAAATCGCACATAAGCATGGATCTTTTCAACTTTTGCATAAAAAACAATATTATGTTATTTTGTTTGCTGCCTAATGCTACTCACATACTCCAACCCTGTGACGTCGCGGTGTTCAAAGCTTTGAAAGTAGCCTGGAAAGATGTTGTTATGAGGCAAAAACAGGATTCGCAAAAGTCTATCACAAAAACCAACTTTGCACCTCTATTTAAAAATGCTTTTGATAAAGCCATCAAACCTGAAACAATAATGGCTGGATTTCGAGTAACCGGTTTATTTCCTTTTGACCCAAATGAGAGGAAACTGATCAATTTGAATCACTAATAAATGATTTTTCTGATTTCAATGAATTCGATATTAATAGTATGCCTATTGAACTCGACGGGATAGTGTACAGTAGTGCTACGGAAAACCAACAATTAGACGAGTCAGTAAGCTGCGCTACGGAAGAACCTTCGAAAAAAATTATTGTACACAGTGTTGTTACCCTCGAAGACCTGGTGAAGAATAGATGGGGAGACCAGCTTACGATGGAAGATGTTAATTTGATTAATGAATCTGAAAGTATTTTACAAAACTACAGCGTGACAAAACCTGAAAAACTACAGAAGATTGAAAGTCAACACAATGAACAAAACAACGCGGAAGATAATATTTCGCAGGATAAATATTGTAACGAAGTATTAGAAAAGGAAACTTCAATGAAGCCAGTGGAAGCGGACAACATTTCAGAAAATACGCTCCCGAAAAAGGTTATAGATGAGAAAGAGGTGTGGTCGCAACATTTGCGTTGGCCTAGTGAACCAGTGAAGTCTACAAAACGTAAATCTAACGATAACACTCGTATGCCGTACGCAATTACTTCTAAGAAGTTTAAAGAATTTATGGATAAGAAAGAAGCAGTGAAACAGAAAAAAGAAGAACTGAGAGTACAACGAAAATTGAAGGTCAATTTGAAGGCTAAAACCAAGAAGATTAATCCTAAACCTAAAACTAAGATAAAAGACAACATTAAGAATCATACAGAACGCAAAAGTGGTGGAAATGACTCGCTCGATATGAAGGAAAATAATATTGGCGCAGAAGAAAATTCAAACTCATCTGGACCTGATACTGGGTCCTATGTAATCGTCCTTTATGATGAAAAGCCGTTTCCAGGAATCGTCAAGAATATAGAAGGCGAGGAATACGAAGTGCAGACTATGTGCAAGGTTGATATTGAAGGAAAATATCATTTTAAATGGCCCGGTCGAGTTGATCAAATTTGGTACAATAAAGCGTCTATTTTAGAACAAATTACTGAACCAAGATTAATTCGTAGGGGCATATTTGAATGCAATGAAATAGAGAAATACTTACCTTTAGAATAGGCACCTGGTCATATCTAAATCAATCTATAGTTATAGATTTCTAATCTTAAGTTAACGCAACCTAGATATAGTACCAAAAATGTGTAGGATTCAGTTAGTTCATTTACTAGATACCCATTGTTCATTTATTAGAATTTATGTTCATTTACTAGATACACATTGTTCATTTACTGGCAACACGTGTTCATTAACTAGGATTTAGTGAAATGGTTAATTATTTTATTTTTTTACTGAATAATATGTAAGTTTGTGAAAATGTGATTTTAAATATATATTCTCAACTGAAACAGCGAGTATTTAGTATTTTTTTTAAATGTTACCTTATAATATGGATTTATAAAATTAGTGGTTACTTTGAAAAAGGCCTAACGCGTTCATTCACTGGTACACTTACCCTATGTCGTTATTTTTGCTGATCCTGAATGAATGTAAGCAAATTATAACTATTTTTTAAGTTGTTCTTGTTTTCCTTACACTCAATTTCTCGTAGATTAGATTATAAGTACGATTTACATTCTTCAACACTGCTAAGAGCATATACGAGCCCCTTCCCACTTCACATGACGAAACTATTTACTCCTAAAACAATTTATTTTCTCAAAAATATTTTAGATACACTCTAGTCATAAAAAATACCTATTTGAAATCACTTAGACCTATAACTAATAGAACATCTGAACAAATAAACAATGTGCGAACAAATGCGTGAAGTTAACAAAGCAACAATTGAAAGATTACCATTGGGTAACATCACCTTTATTTTTTATTACGGCTGAAATTCTTTGGGGCATAGTGTTAACCAAGTTTTGGCAAAAATTTGGTGTAAAACAATCCCATATTTCTTGAAGCTGTTGTCTCAGTTCGGTGATTGTACGAGCAGGATGTTGTTGTAGAACCTTTTTCAGCTCGTGCCACAAAGTTTCAATAGGTGACAGATCTGGACTGCTAGAAACCCATTTCAAAAGTGGTACATTATTTTCTTCCATCCATTTTATAGCCTTTTTTGAGGAACGGCACGCTGCACCATCTTGCTCAAACACAAAATCTTGGCCGGATGTCAAAGATTATTCCACCTCTGGTAAAAGCGATTCTTCTAAAAATGCCAAATATTTGTTTGTATCCACATTTCAATCAATAAAATGAAGCTTTCCTACTCTTTTTGATGACATACTGCCCCAGACCATAATGGATGCTGGAAATTTCACTTTTCTCTTTAGACAGTCAACATGGAATGCTTCATTTTTTTGCGAATAACTCTACTGCGACTGTCACCAACACAAACTTCGAATCGGGCCTCATCACTCCATTGTATTGCACACTATTGTTGAGGTGTCCATTGTCTATGTTCTTTAGGCCATCTAAGCAGATTTTTCTTCTGCAGTGGAGTTAATAGTGGCTTTTCTTTGGCCTATAAACAAGTTGTGCAACTTTAGGGTTTTTACTTCACTTTTTTTTATGAGAAAACTTACCTTGAAAGTGCTAAATCCCAGTTAGTTGGCCTCTCTATGAGTTGTGGACCTCGAAATTCTCCTTTCAACAGCGTCACTCCACAGAGCACTTAATTGTAAATAATTGGCACGCCTGTTTTTCACGATTATTCTTCTTAATGCTCTTCGGTCGGCATTTGTGATATTACTTTTTTTCACATATCGTAGCTTAGTATTAACTGAACCAGTTTGTTATATCTTCTAACAATATTTCTCACACTGTACCACGATAAGTCTAACAAAGTTGCAATTTCTGTGTTTGATTTCCCAGAATTAAAAAATTTAATTATCAGTAACCGAATTTTCTCACTAATAACCTTTCCTCTACCCATTTTGAGAGCCTTAACTACCCAAAACTATTTTAAACGTATTCTGACAGCTGTGATTAATAAAAACAATTGTCATGGCTTTTATTTTTCACAGCCACCTATGCGTTATAGACTTTATTTTGCTTTGGAATAAAAATAGGTTGATATGCTGTAATTGCAACATGTGTTATTTTTATGCTGCAAATTTGATTAGGGAGTGATAAAGTTGGTGTTTTCTACTATATATTATCAAAATATTCATTGTTAATATTTTAAACCTATAACACGCTACATTTTTATTATTTGTGTTTGATTAGAAAAAAACTAAGATTTCAATAGTTGGGCCAACTGAAGTGGGAAGGGACTCGTAGAGTTTCCCGTTACATTTCAGTCGCTCAAAGATACGCTTTTATTTTAAATAGGGAAGAAAACAGTAAGAAATTCCCTTTTATCCTTGGAAACTGGAAAGGATTAGACGCCATAAATGGAAAGTAGCCGGTTTTCCTTGCGAAGAGAATAATTCACTTAGATGGAAATTAACGTAATGAAAATATCAGTGTCATTCCTTGTGAGTGTATATCTTTCTCTGTATTCCCTGTGAAATGTAAATGTACTTTAGACATGGACGTAGTTTTAGAAAATTTACTCAAGGAGAGAATATTTTCCGATTCACATAAATATCACAGAAGAGAGGCCTTATGGCTTGAAGTTTTAGGCAGAACGGCATGTCGGTGGGCCAGTGTTTGCAACAAATTTCGAAAAATTAAATATTGTTTTTTGGTTGTTACATTACACAACAAACAAGTCCCTCACTTCTGTCGGTCTATCTGTTAGTCTGCCTGTACGATGATCCTTTACTCTCTATAAATCTGAAAGTACCGCTTGGAAAATCGCCAAAGCTTCATTTTTCGTCCTTGTAGACACTCCTGAACAATTTTTGGAGGGAGCGAAACTTGAGGTTTGGGGGGTTGTAATAGTGTTCACCGGTTAGACAGGAAGTATTTTCCGTATATTTTCCATTGAAATAGAAATATTATAGTTTTATTTTCTGTAGCTTATGATATATTGTACTCAAATGAACATACTTGGTTACGTTTTGATTTTATTTAAGCTTTGTGAATAGACTTGAACCATTCCTTTTTTGGAACGCTGTTGCCGCAACTTTTTGGGAAGTATGGACTCAATTGAACTAACGTATATAAGACTCCCTACCGATGCTGGAAATTATAAAAACACCAAGTTAATACAATAGGGAAGGTCAATAATCGAACTAAACAACACAGATGTGTCGGAAGAATTTGTCATCGCATGGGAATAACGACTTTTTAATGGATGGCCTTAAGGCCAATTTCACCAACATTAATATTAAACTGTCCCTTGGACCAATAGCCCTTATCGAAATGCATGTTGACAGAAGCTGTCAAACCTCTCTGAATATCAGTGATTTCTATTGAAATGTTGAATAAAGTCGTCAAAAAACGGTTGCCTTATAAATAAGGATACATTATAGATGTAATGTTATGGCTTTGTGCTTTAGAATTAGGATAACTTTCATAGAATTTCAAATTTCAGAAAAGACGGTCAGTTACTTAACTGGGACCAATGGGAATGCGGCAAATAATAGGTCGATTTTCTAGCTATTATATGTGGTAGGATATTTTCACTGTTTTTGACGACTGTTCATGCATGGCAATCTAGTTTTGTCTGTATGTCACGTACAGGGTGTTATACATAATACGTACCTGTAGAAATGTACCGATGTTTGTTATTTTGCAAAAAAAAAATGATATAAAACGTATTCCAACTGGTTCATGATCTTTTGTTACATCAAAAACGATTTTTGCCAATTTATGATCTAGAAATCCACACCAAATGTAAAAAAAACAGCACATTCTGCATTTCTGGGTCCTAATACATCGATATTTGTAAAAGTATCCGCATCCACCTATTATTCATCGTCTAAATATTAGTGAATCAAAAATACCTTAATTAATGAAAATATACTGAAAATATATCTCCAAACATTGTTATATTTTCTTATTATTTCTATTATTATAAAACATGTGGGATATCAGTTGATTTTAATGTGATCTGCAGTGTTGCCAAGTCGGAAAAAACGGAATCGGTAAATAGTGTCGCTGAGGTATAAGGTAAATTCCGTCCCAAGATCGGTGGTAGATCAAGGACCTTTGAGTCGTGAAAAACGTCTGTTATTGCATTGGGCGCGCACACAACATGTTTTTTGAGGGAATAGTTCTACATTACATCTTCTACAATGTGCATACTGGTCGCTCTTTCAAAGTACTTTGCAAACCATTCTGGAAATATAAATAATATAATATATAATAATGAAATATGGACATCAAAAAACCTGAATGGTTTTGTGGGAATATCAATCTAAGGTGCCATAATGTTTCTGATGAACGGCAAGTAAATGAATGAGTGTAATAGGAAAAGAACACACGGTAGGTGATGTTGAATCAGTAAAATCGCATATCAATTGAAGAAAATAATATAAACATGAATAAACAATCGACAATATGCAATAAAAACATGAATTTTTTTCAAAAATCCAATACTTTTTCAAATTTTGACTAAATTATACAGGGTTTGACTTTGAAGTTGAGTCATTAATTTTCAGATAATGATTGTAGAAGGAAGATAAACCAAAATATGTGTGTAAAAATAAACAAAAATTGAAAAAATGTTACTTTATTATATAAAGTATCCTCCCGACAAGTATTTCAGTGCGGACCTGTATTTGATCGTGCGGTCTTGGAGCACCGGCATGCCCTCCCCTGTGAGGTCTTAAGTCACCTGAGTCAGGAGCCCTTTGTACTACATTAACAAATGCACGAAGGGTGGGTTGCACTCGATTGAGAAACCGATCCGATCCGCATAAATCCGTGATGCCGCGGCAGCATTTTGTAAAGACTCCCCCCCGTAAATAAGAATCATGTCCCCAAGTTCAGCATTTTCGTAAACATGTGCCATTTTTTATTTCGTTTGAGCCACGCAAGAAACACCACTATTCACTCACGCGTTACCGACTGACACATTGACTGAATACAACTGAATAAAATTGTAGTAAAAACATCGTGATAAGCGTTTCAAATTCTTTCGCATTTTTGTTTCCGATGCGATGAACCGATAAGGCGGATTATATCCGTTGTTGCCAAACACGAGCACATAATATTATTATTGA